GGTGGGAGTGGGTGTGGTTTTATATTTTAGAAAAAATTTGGCATTAGAAAATTGGAACAATGATTATCGTTTTCCCAAAAATTTCCAACTTCTTTGTAATTTTAGAAAACGGAAAATTTTCATTTTCCGTGAAAAATTTAGAAAAATAGACGAACTAAACGCGTTTTCAAAATTCTCATTTTTCTTGAAAAATTTTTTCCGGAAAACGGCCCATTTTTCCGCAACTAAACGCACCCTTAGACTCTCATTTGTTTTTTTTTCCGGTGACTGTTTCCGAAAAGGACCGAGGAGAGGTCTCCAGTGACGACTCAGAAATCATAGAGGAGAAGAAAGAAGGTGGTTCTGATGGTGGGTCTTTGACCCGGTTCCCGTCTCCTTATCTTCTCCGGCAGTAATAAAAGGTGGAGCAGCGGGGAGGTCGAGGGTACCATAAGTGAAACTGTGATATGGCATTTTCTGGCAAAGTTGGGTCTGGATCCAAGAGGGTTACTTAATATTTCCGATGAGCTTCAGGGATGAAAGAGTGAGTATTGTTTTATCCGATGGTGAAGTTATTGTGTTCCAATAAGCTCACAAGTTTTTCCGGTGACCATTGTTATTTTGATGGGTCTTAGCTTATGGGTAAATCGGCTTCTATTTCAGGCTAAGAGTTTATGGTGTACGCATGCTTTTGACGTGGCAGTGCTCCAAACAAAAGGTGCAAGTTAACCCTCCTGCATATTACTTGAATAAATTCCAAAGTATAGGTGCATAGCATTATCATAATTATATTTAAACAACATATGTGGTGGCATCATATCTTATATCATAATAATATGAGTTAGTGGCTAAATTATAATATGAGCATAATTACGGTACTCCATGTAATTAAGGATATAGGACGTAAATATATTTATGGTTGTATTTTAATTACGATGAATATAGCTTGCATATGCGAAGTTTAATTGGAAATAAAAGTGCATATTTTGAGATTGGAAGTTTATACTCAATAATAGTCTTCGAGATAAGTTTTACCTATTTAATCGAAATTGTGGATTAAATATAAAACACGATAAAATATTATTAAACCATGAATTTACTTGAATAATAGTCTTCGAGATAAGTTTTACCTATTTAATCGAAATTGTGGATTAAATATAAAACACGATAAAATATTATTAAACCATGAATTTACTTGAATAATTGGTCTTATATGAGGATCTAATTTACTAGGAGGATGATCAAGGTCGAGAACTTTTGGACGTAATGATATTACGAGGAGTTGGTGTTGGTTGCCCCATCGATATCAAGGTGTTTAGAGAGCTAGGAATCCATCTTGGACACTTCAGTGATTTTATTTTGTGTTTGCTGCTTCAGGTGAGTTATCCTCACTATATCAACAGGGTCTAAGGCACCAATGTCGGCCTTTATCGGATTTGTATCCTGGTTTATTGCATGATATGCTTATTCATTTACATCCTGATAGTTAGGATGATGATATGTTTAGTGACCTGGTTAGGTCGGTATTCTGATATAGAGGATGATGCTATGTTAGTGACCTGGTTAGGTCGGTATCTTGGTATATAGGATGATGCTATGTTAGTGACCGGTTAGGTCTGTATCATGGTTATAGGATGTTGCTATGATTGATGATCTGTTAAATCGGTTTGACTATTATATATGATAGCGTATGGTATTATGTGCACATATTTATTTGATTGAGGGTTGGGTTGAGGCGGTCTTGTTTTGTGCTGAAGGCCAACATACCCAGGGCGGTCTGGATAGACTACGGGCCCAGGAGGGCATGTTAGTCAGACCGAAGGCCCGGCGAGCAGTCCGGATAGGCTGTAGGCCCTACGAGGCGGTCCAGACGTGCCGAAGGTCGGAGAGCGGTCCAGATAGGCTGAAGGCCTGCGAGGCGGTCCAGTCAGGCTGAAGGCTCATTATGCATGCTGTTGCTTATTTGTTTATATGATATGATTATATCTGTATGGCGTTGGTATTTTAGGGGTACCTCACTAAGCCTTTGAGCTTACATTTATCGATTATTGTTTCAGGTATTTCTGATGATCGCGGGAAGACGAGTGCGTGATCGTGCACCTCCTTATATTTTCATGATTGGATTCTGGGGATAGTCTGATGTTTAAACTATTTTGGAAACAAACTATAATAACTTAATGGTTTTAAATGTTTTTAAAAGTTTTAAATTTGCTCGAATTTTATGAGTGTTACACTTTCAGATGGAAGCTCTTACAATGGCCCTTCACCAACCTAAAACTTACATCGATGATTCAAGTGTTTGCTGATCGGATATAAACTGTAAGATTCTAATAATTTTTACTTTTTTTTATCCATTTTGGTATTAATTAGCAACCTGATTGAATGATTCTTCTAGAAAACCCAAAACTAGATAGCATAAGTCATAAGGTAATATTTTGTCATGATCCAATACATAATACACATATAGACATATAAAAATGATTATGATATTATATTGCTTCAGTCAATTTTTGGTTATAAGCCTATGTTTAACAGGAAGTAATAACAGAGTGTTTTAGGGTTTTACCAAGAAGAAATTTTTATTAATTTCCAAAATGCATTGGAAGGCTACATTGTGAAGCTAAATTTGACTTATATTGTTAAATTATAGAAAAAACAAGATTGATTAAAAATTACATAAAATGAAGATACTAAAATTTCACATGAATTTTTGGATTATACAACCAATAATGGCCAAGAGTACACTTTATTTCTAATTATTGATATCTTGATCAAAGTAAAACTACTTTTTTTTTGGCTAGTTTACCAATAACATAATCTAATCCTAACCTTCTTTACTTTAAGGGTTTTTTTAGGTACTTTTTATTGTGTTTGTTAAGAGGCTGTATTTGACTCCGTTAGATTCAATTAGAAGCCTCTGATTCTGTCTGATATGTCTCTTACTGGATGTGATAAGAAACTAAGTCTAATTCAATTAGATCTTTACTCCATCATTAAGTATCAAAGTGATAACCTTTAAGATTAAGAATTAGTTGTGCTTATAGATGAGCTTGCACATGGTCATCCAATCCAACAAAACTTCAATTAGCATTTGATTTTGTATGTTTATGGCAATGGCTTTATCCCACCACAATAATTGATTGCCAAAAGAGACAACTAAGTTTTTTTAACAACCACAAAATCACAAGCCTAAATTTCTGTAGTCAAGCAATGAATTTATTATTTATCGAACATGAGGTTCGGATTTAACCTATTAAAGTTGTTTTAAATACTTTTTAATTACAACTATAATTTTTTTATTTATATTTTATTATTAGATGCAAGATTTTTTATTGGTAGCTTCTTTTTATCTGAAAATAGTTGTTGTAGAACATCTAATACACATAAATTAACAATTAACTGAAGTAAAATAGATTGATTACAACTATATATATTTTTTACTTATATTTGAATCCGTGTGACATTAGAGCACTGGTAGGTTAGTTTGGCAATAAAGAGAGATTTGTTCAATAGAAATGCCATGCAAACTAAGATTTAAAAAAAAAAAAAAAAAACTGAATATTTAAATATTTTACTATATTTGATTTAGAACTGTGTCATATTTACAAGGACATAGTTGTTCTATAATACACATTTCTAAAAGACATTGATCATTTGAAAAGTGTCGTGTATAGAAAGAAAGATGGAAAGCATAAGTGATTTTTCAAACTAAACGGAAACGAAAAAGAATCACTAGTTATTTTTTAAGGAAATTAATCCGTGTGATGACAAAAAGCAAGAATGTGTTGGGGGAAATGTATCCAAATGATAGAATAAACTATCAAAAATTTAGATTATTGTAGTCATTATCCGAAATACTCAAACCCCTTAGATCCCTAGAATGAGGGTTAACCCAACAACCAATTGGAAAAAAATAGAATGTAGAAGTGAAGTTTATAAATGCCAACGGTCTGAAGAAGTGTGATCTTACAAAAGGTATCAAAAAAATACATAAGATTTTTATAGAAAGCTGTATTTAAAAAAAAAAAATATTGGTACACCATATCATCTGAGCAACTCATATAAACCTGACCTAATGTCTATGTGGCAGATCAATCACGAGTACATAAATTGGACGGTCAAAATTATTTAATGTGATACACATTGTAAAAACAATTCATTTTAACATAACTTTATGGATTAAAATTAATGATATTAGTTTCAAAGATCAAAATCGCAAGGAAACTCTAAAATAAGGATAAAAAATCTAAAGAAATCGGCTTTAATGAATAAAAAAGAAATCTTTAAAACTATAATAACCAGAAACATTTTCAAAATGCGTGACAAAATATCAGAATATCTATATCAAAATGAAATGAACTAAATCCATCAAAGCTTTTGGTCTAAAGAGTTCGGCCCACTTTAAGTTTGATGATTCAAGCCCATTTCAAATTAAAACTTATGGGCCATAGCTTCTACTCTTGAAAATCGCAATTGCCTATTATATATATAAATAAACAGCTTTCGAAATTCTGGCGCGAAGAACGACCTCTATTTTTGCGTGTTTGAGAGAGAGATGAGAGAGGATAATCATGAAATTCAAACACCAAAGAAGGAACATCTACCACTTCCTTCCAATCGCAAGGCTAAACAGATGAATGCTGCATCGAAGAAGCTCCATCATCAGCAGTAAAAGGTCAAACAATCTCAATAAGTAACAATTTCTCTATGTTTTGAATCAATGATCTGAATGTTTTGCATATACTTTTGTTTTAATTTGACGTAACAGAGCGTCAAGAAGAACTTGAGTTCTGTTCTAAATTCTGTTACTGAGGATGATGCTGGCTTAAACTTACCGGAGAAAGAGTCAATTGAGAAGGTCTCGTTGATTTCAGGATCTGTTGACTCTGATCATTCTACCGTAGAGGTATATAGAATCCATTATATTGATTTGATTATAAATTCATTGCGCTTATTTTAATTGTTTCATTTTCAATCGTTCTTCTCGTCATTTGTTCTTTTGGTATGATCAGATCGGCACAATGAGCTTAACTTCCGATCAAACTCTGGTTCCTAACAAATCGGCGATTGAAAATCCAGAAGAGTCGGTTGAGATTGCTCCGATCTCAGAGGCTTTCGTGTCTGGTAAAGATCAATCGAATGATTCCATCGAGGTATATTGTCAATCTAATTAACACTTTCAATCATCGTTGACTCAAATTCTAGAGCTGTTGAAATCTGCAAATGATATGGATGTTACTCACCCAGCGTTCAATAAGTTTTAAGCATGTAATCGCAAACACACCAATTTACGTTAGAAACAGATTTTTTGAGTAGATCTAATTCAATAGCAATTTAATGCTTTTAGAGGTGATCATTGTGTGCTATCATTTTGTTTTAAGATTTCAATTTGTAGTAATTTAGATACACTTTGAATGTTTCAGAGCTACATTGCGTCTTTGAATCAATTCACTTCACCAACGTCTGTAATTCCAATCTCATTACAAGTAACTCCATTGTCATGCACATCGCCTGCTCTGTCATCCATATCAACTCTTGAAACGACTCCATTTTCATCCTCCCCAATAACTGCTGAAGCTGCTGTGTTCCATGTTGATTCAGTAACTCATGATGAAGCCACAACAGAAGAGTCTGATCCAATCAAACTAGAATCATTGGTAAAGCATCTGAAGGAATCCATGTTTCAGGTTTTGCATTCTGCTGATATTGGTCCACAGTAAAAGAAGCTTCTGGATGGTTTGGTTAAGATGGTGATTGAAGAGTTCTTTAGCTTGCATGATGAAAGGAACAGCGTTGTTCACCTGTTTTCAAGCAGAATAAAGATCGTTATGCTGTGTATTCTCGCTATTTCTTCCGGATTCTTCCTCTTTTCAGATGTTTGGAGCTCTTATGAAGGCCCTCCACCAACCTAAATCTTTGATGGGTGATATAAACTGTAAGATTATAATAATTCTATCTTCTACTTTCACACACTTTATTCTATGCCTTTTGATATTTGTCAACAACTTGATTGATTGATTTTTCTAGAAAACCCCAAAACTACATAACATTCAACAGAGATAATTAATACATAAATATAGAAATGATTATGATATAATACATATGTGATTGGTATTTGGTAGATTGTTTTTATTTAAATTATATAAACATAATAATAGTTATCTGTAATAATGGTGTTTGTTTAAACATATTAGAAACTTCCAAAGTGAAGTTTGAATAAATGATCAAGAACATAGATTAAGAGGGCCTCACTTTGCCATTTCTTGAAAAGTGTAACATTATATTTGTTAAATGATAATCTCCCATGTGATTAGTGGGATCTTTTTTTCTACTTTAAGCCAAATAGCATATAATTAAAAGCGATTTATCTCAAATGTAACGTGGTGTAGTCCCATTAGTGTGCCATGGGGCCCATTTAACTTTGTCCTTTGGTTAATGTCCTATCCAATTTTTTTTCCCTCTTAAATTAAGCTTGTAAAACAAGTCATGTCCTAGTGTACACCATCAAATAGTTTTAAATAAATTTTAAAATTGACTCTTTCTTTTGTAAATTGATTTAATTACCATTTGCTAAATATGTTTCTATTTTATATTTAAAAAAATGTCATTTTGTATAATTTTATCTGTTTTGAAAGCTTTTTGTTATTTTTACAGAGAGCTTTCATATATAATTAAAAGCTCCAAGTCCCGACTTTCAGCTACTAGCTACAATCTTCCAACTAATTTTACCGATGGTTATTTCCATAACTTTATGGTTAATGTTATTTAGGTCAAGATGTTGTTAGATAAAGTATATATAGTAAGTTCAATTTCTTTTTTCACTTTATGCTTAAGATTATTCAGATCAATTTCTTGGGATGGATAGAAATGATTATTTCTATAAATTAGAATCATGGTAAAGAATCTAACCCACTAATACCAATGGCCAAGAGAACAGTTTGCTACTAATTATTGACATCTTGGATCAAAGTAAAACCACTTTTTTTTTGGTTGAATTACCAATAACATAATCTAATCCTAACTTTCATTGGGAATTCATTATCCCAATAAGTACTTTAATTTACTTTAAAACCCAAACTTAGCTGTACTTATATAGATAGGCATGCACTTGGTCATGTAATCCAACCGAACTTCAATAAACATTTGAATTTGTTGTTTTATGGTAATGACTTTATCCCACAACAATAATTGATCCACCAAAAGAGACAACAAGATTTTTTTTTAATAACCAGAAAATCATAAACCTAAAGATTTGTTGTCAAGCTATGAATGTATTGGACATGAGATTCATATTTAATGTATTTAAATTTTATTAAATAAGTTTCTAAAAGAGGAAAGTGATTAAAGGCTAATGAAATTTTAAATTATGTTGTATTATTGTGTTCAAGATTTTTAATTAATAGTATCGTTTTTATCTCAAAAGAATTGTTGTTGTAGAATCTTATGTATATAAACTAGCAATTTTTTTATTATGACTTATGGACGATAAAACCAACAAATTGGACTCTAGATTAGAAAAAACAAAAAAAGAGTACTCATTTAAATACTATAATATTTTGTATGCTTTCACACATCCTCGTATTTTTAAAAACCCTCTCATATTTTGTATTAATATATACTTCGATAGTTACACATCTCTTCTACAGACTTTCAAATGAGGTTAAGAAGCTTTTAAGTTGACCAATAATTAAAAAAAAAGGATAATATAATCGTTTTATTTTCATCTAATCGGAATTAACAATTTATGTTAAATTTGAGATATAGACCAACTAATCGAGCCTACCTACGACAATATGCCGTTCTAAAAAAAAATCTATAGTGATATAATCTTTAGGATTAAATATACAAAATATGTAAAAAAAATCCATCTAATACATCCCCTCAGTTTGGACATGATTTTAGGTTCATGTTGAACCGAAACCGTGAAAAAAGTTGTTGTGAAAGTTCTCCGTGAGAATATAGGTGTATTGAAACTTGCTTGGCATGTGAAGGACCTGGAATAGCTGATAGAAGTTTTCATATGCACAAAATGAATATCGATTTCCACACCTATCCATCATCAATGCACCAGAACATGTTGCAGATGAAATCATTAGCCGACACGCTATCACAAAAGACAATGGAAGCTTTGTGTATATACATGTGAAGATTATGTATCCAACTAGTTTCCGCAACCACATTCAACACCCCACCCCCACCCCTGTACTTGACTTCGGCAGTGGAGCGTGAGTATGTGTGTTGTCATATAGAAGACAATGAGTTAAGATTAATGCCAACAAATATATCGGAATTGGAAATGGACCTTTAAAAATTTGAGCAAGACACCTAATATTCGTGACAATATGTCGTAAGGTTGTGTCATCACAATAGGGTGAGATGTAGGGCATTGTCGAGACACAATAGTCCCTTTTAGATAACAAAGAATTCGTTCAAGGGATTGAAAATGAGGCTCTTGTGGCATGTGCATGAAGAGACACATTTGTTGAACTACATATGTAATATGTAGACATAATATCATTAAGTATTGGAGAGCACCGTCAAAACCATAAAAGAGAGTATCGGGAGAAAAATACCCATTGGAATCAATTGGAACCAAATATGCAATTTAGTTAGAGTTTTGGTACCTCTATATCCATAGATCAATTCTCAATTTTCTGGTTTCGATTCGGTTTATTCTGGTTTCGGGCTCTAACAACTAGGGTTGTTAAATTGTTGGAACTTAACCGAACTGATTATTAATCGAATATTTAATTTGAATATGTTCTCCGTTCCTCCATATCCATAAATTAAGTTCTTGATTTTTTAGTTATGATTCGATCTTGGAACCAAGCTCACCCATAATTAGAGTCAAATTGGCAATCAGGGTGATGATAGTTGTGTTAAGTTTGTCGGTAGAATCATTTGGCATAGTTGTGCTGGAAAGAGTGTTCAATGTCATTAACTGTTGGTAATATTTCTAATAATAATAAGGTCCTTTTGGTTGCCCTCAAAACCCAATTGAGTAGAATAAATAAAGGAGAAATTAGTTTATTAATTATTATGGTTAATAACTAATTAGAAACTAACAGGAAAATTATTTTTTGGAATTAATTAACAGTTTAATTAATTAAAATGTTAAAATATTCATTAATCAATAGTTGGTTAATCATGAATATTCCAAAACCCTTATAGACTTAGGGTTGGACGAAAATCACTCCATCCCACATGGGAAAGGGAGTGAAGTTTGTTCTAGGTTCCTTGTCCCACATAGGTGAAAGACCCCTTTCATACTTAACATTTATCATAAAGTCGAAAAACATGCCACATGCATATTGATATTTTATTACAAAAGACTAGATACAAATCGACTAACGAAGTTTTTATAAAGTTTTATATATTACATAACTTCCTAGGAATTTATACACTAAGTACAAAAGTGATAATATTAACTATTCTACATCTTCTTACAGTACATAACTATACTGGATGCTTATCACCTGCAATAGTTAAACACTGAGAGGGATAAGCGGGTGACGCTTAGTGAGTTCAATATAGGGACAATTGTATGTTATGTGTTATATGTGCAATGTGCTTTCTCGTGTTATTATGATAATGGAGTTATACCTTTGACCATGAAGTGAATGACTAAGCATCACTTTGGTATTGGTATGAAGCCTTTGGCCATGTAGAGCATGTCTCGTATCACTTTGGTATTGGCTTTGTGCCTTTGGCCATGTAGAGAATGACTCGTATCACTTTGGTATTGGCAGAATGCTAGTTAAGGCTAAAAGCCTGTATATTCTAGCAAAATGATAATCCGAAATTGTATTTTCTATGCCACTTGGACTGAAGTTTTTTTGAAGTATATCAAGTTGAAATTGTTATGTCTCATTGATTGTAAATCATTGAATTAGATTATTGGTTGATATGGAAAGCATGTCATATGATACTCATCTGCCTTTGTTGTTCTTTGTCCCTCTTTGTTTCTGTCATATATATATATATATATATATATATATATATATATATATATATATATATATATATATATATATATATATATATATATGGCATAACGTTATATTGTAACTGTTATTAAACTCACTAAGCGTCACCCGCTTATCCGTCTTAGTGTTGAATTATTGCAGGTGATAAACATCCAATATAGTTATGTACTGTAAGAAAATGTAGAATAGTTAATATTATCACTTTTGTACTTAGTGTATAAAATCCTAGGAAGTTATGTAATATATAAAACTTTGTAAAAACCTCGTTAGTCGGTTTGTATCCAGTCTTTTGTAATAAAATATCAATATACATGTAGCATGTTTTTCAACTTTATGATAAATGTTAAGTATGAAAGGGGCCTTTCAATCATGGTATCAGAGCAGTAGTTTAAGTGAACTAAATACCACGGATTGGTATTTAGACTTAAACCGTCGGAAGTTCAATATATGAACGGATTCATTGTGAGTATATGGATACAAACCATAGGAAAGACTTAAGTAGGATATATGCCTTAATTAAAATTATATGCTAATTGAATTGTTATAGCATGCCTTAGGTTGAATACCTCACTTGCTATAGTGTGCACTAGCATACTTTAAGGGAGATGCCTTATATGTTAATATGTGCTAAAAGATAAATAATATACCTGAAAGTGCGAGCACGACTTAGAGATATGTGGTGCCACTCTTTCTGTTTCGAAGCATCCACGTGTCAATCGAATTGTTTCTGTTTC